TATATATATATACTTTCACTATTCCTGCCCGAGCGCATGTTGTGTGCGTTCTTACATAAACAAGGATTGGAGCAAAAACAAGAGCGCTAAAGTTTAGAATAGCGCCGTAAATGTTACACACATAATCGTATTTCATTCGCGAGATACCGCCGGGGTTGGATTCCCAGAGAGCGTGCGTTTCTCCATGGCCTTCCACGTGACACGTTCATTCAGCTTCGTCAAGCGCGATCACGTGATTCGATCTCACGCGCACGCACAACATACAGACAGGCTAAAGCAAGGTCTAAGCGCGGTGAAAGCATGATCTATCATCGTATGTGCCTATAGTTCAAACTTGCTCTGAGTATGGTCAAAGCATTGTCTAAAAATGGCTTAGGCAGGAGATAAGTATTGGCATGTGTGACGATTCTCCCCTACGTAACATCCACGTTATGAAGAACCGCGCAGTAACCTTCTCTCAGTTAGACGCTCTCCAGAAGTCGTCGTAGGCATCGACTTGTCGCACCCACTGCGACGTTCGGACGGTCTATCTCGCAACGCGTACATTCTCTCGTAAGCTCCTTCTAACTCGGCTCGGCAACGTAACCAGTGAATGATTGCCAGAGAGAGAGAGAGAGAGAGAGAGAGAGAGAGAGAGAGAGCGGTAGCAGGATTCGGAGAGAGGGACGGGGCGAGGGGAAGTCTAAAAGGTAGAGTCCGAGAGACGGACGGAGCGAGATGGGGAGTCTGATAGAGAGACGGGGAGGGAGGGAGTGATTGCGAAAAGGAGGACGAGAGTGTGGGAGAGAGGAAAAGGGGCGAGAGAGAAAAGTGAGGGAAAATGGAATAGATATATGCCCGAATGGCGAGGCGATTGGAGGGGATAACGAGGAAAGGAAGGAGATAAGGGAAAAGGAAGAGGAAAAGGAGTTTGATGGAGGAAGATAATAGAAAAGAGTGAGCGCAATCGTGAGCGAGGCGGGCGAATGGAGAAAGAGTTTGTGCAAGAGAGACTCTGGTCGGCAGTGAGAGAGAAAGGGGACGTTGGAGAGACTCGAATTGTGATTAAGCGAGATTCTCTGTGTTTGTGCGTGTGTGTGTATGTATGTATGTATGTGTGTGTGTGTGTGTGTGTGTGTGTGTGTGTGTGTGTGTGTGTGTGTGTGTGTGTGTGTGTGTGTGCGCGCGTGCGTGCAAGTAAGATCGAGAGATATAGAGAGAGGTGGTGACTGGGGAGAGAGAATGAGAAAGAGAGAGCTGCCCATTATAAAATCAGCCTTGGCCCAAAAAAGCACTGCTGTGAAAGTGATAGTGTCCGCTCCGGTGCGTACGTGACATGCGCGCGCGTGTGTACTGTGTATGTGTATGAGAGAGAGAGAGAGAGAGAGAGAGAGAGAGAGAGAGAGAGAGAGATGAGCCCCACAGCCTCCGGCGACATACTGTGGCTGATCACAGCCACGGACAAGGTGCTGCCCAACGACGCCGCTTGCATACGGACTGTGGCGATATATGGACGTCGATATATTTTCGTGGTCACACACACACACATGTCATACATGCATTGCATGTCATACAGGCACGCGCACGCATACAGATGCGCACGCACGCACGCGCGCGCACAGAGTTGCTATACAGGCTCGTGTACACAAACAGACGCGCACATATGCAGTTGCTTCCACAAACATAGAAACGCAGGTACGCATATGCACGCACGCACTCACTCATACACGCATTCACACACGCGCGCACGTACGCATGCATTAAACGCCATCAAGCATCCACTCATAAGCGCCTACACACTGCGTAATACAGTGTCAGCTATGTTATTCGCGGCCGTGCTCTGCGCACAGTACTGTAGTAGGTCATGTACATGTTAGCATTACATTAGGTCCGGTGCCGGGCACACGTATCGCACCCCGCCCTCCACACATCCCCCACCCCACCCCCGCGCGCAAATAGCCGCCATTTTATTCTACGGAGTGTGCGCGCGCGCGATTGTGCGACTCGTGGCGTTTTAATGTTTTAGTTTGTGTTTTTAATGAATTTCTATTAAAGCGTTAGCCATTTGGAAAGTTTTTTCGTGTGGCACAGAAATGAGAAAACTCATCGGACTCCCAAACGTCTATGATATTGGGTTTGCTGTGCGTAGCCACTGCGTTGTTGAACTGCGACTGTGATGATGCTGATAGCGACAAGCTGTTGTGAGCAATGAGGGCAAGTCAGAGGTGTTGCTGTGGCAGGATTCAGGGATTCTTATAACGCCGATACATGCTAATACTGATTACCACCTGTCGGCTGTGCCTTTAGCTGCCCTAGACTGTCGACGTCCGGGGTTCATGTATCTCCAATGTGTCTTTAACCTGAGAGGTAGCAGATGAAGTTAAGAAGTGGTGTTCCCCGAATGCTGTTGATTACTGTGACGAATTGAACGCGAAAAAAGAGCGAAAGTCGTTTATAGAATATACATGCGGTAAACAAAACAAACAAACAAGAAAATAACTAAACCCAGTAATCAACAGGAGCAGGCGCCGGAACAGCAAGTACTGTAAAATGTTTGAATGTTATTCAGATTTCTATGTAAGAGGTTACAGAGGTATTTTTCTAAAGGATTTGTTTAAAAAAGGTACTATTTATAAATACAGTTATGAAAGTTTATTGATGTATGTAGATGTCTTTTAATGGAGGTGAAAAATGCCCTACGGTTTGGATGTACACGCTCTTTGCTCTTAATGCTGTTGAATCGCTTTTAATGACCGCCTCCGAATTCATTTGTAAATAGGTTTTAATGCGAGAAATCGTTTGTGGGTAAATGAACTATGAAAACTATTAGAACTTGTGTGAATATATAGCTAGCTGCTCGGTAAAAGAGAACTATTGCGCGAGTGTTTTTTGCAGTCGCCTCTCGGTGAACACAGGAGTGCGTACAACGGCGAAACAATTATGATTTATTCGAGATGAGAAGTGACGCCGTACTGGCTTATGAATATACATACGTCCATTAACTCGCTGACAGTTAGTGACGGCAAACCGTGTGAGCGCTGGTGTCCCCATTTATACAGGCAGTTGTGGGAGTAGGGAGGAAAATGGCGGCAATGCGGCGTCGAATCTCGCATTGTCACGCCTGTCCGCATGAAGGACCCGTA